GCAGCTCTATTTTGTCTGTTGTGTTTGAGGCTTTCATGCATTGACGTTTCTTAATGAGGTCTTCATCTCCTGCATGAGGCAGCTTGCTAGTGTCATGTATAACAGATTAAAATTAATCCGCAGAAAACGAAAGTAATGTACAACAACCTCAGAAAAAAACAGCGCTTCGAGACAAGTAATGGTGCACTTGAAATTGTAAAATACTATGTCTACTTAGGACAGGTTATAGCCGCGGAGCCGAACCACGAGATTGAAGTATCTAGAACAATAAGAATGGGGTGGTACATATTTGACAAGCATTCTCAAATCATGACTGGTAGATTGCCACTATCCCTCAAGAGGAAGGTATGTAACAGCTGAATTTAGCCGGTACTTAGCTATGGAACATAAACCTGGAGACTTGCAAAGAGGGATTCAGCTTAAGTCGGGGGTACAACACAGCGAGCGGTGGAAAGAAAAATTATAGGTGTAACCTTAAAAGACAAGAGAGCAGAGTGGTACCAGGGAACAAACCGCGGTTAAGGATATCATAGATGAAATCAAGAAGGACAAATGGACATGGGCCAGGCATGTGGCGTGTAGGCAGGATAACCACTGGTCATTAAGGATAACTGACGGGATTCCCAGAGATGGCAAGCGAGTTAGGGGAAGACAGAAACATGGAGTGAGCAGATGATCGAGATTAGCCTTGAAAGTTTGCGGGTATAAAGCGGTAGCAGCAAGCACACGACCGAGTTGACTGGCGGAACGTGGGAGAGCCTTTGTCCTGCAGTGGACGTATTTAGACTGGTGATGATGATAGCGTTAAATTGTCCCGTTTGAATTTGTGAGTACTGTACTATACGCATCAAATAAAACCCGAACAGCGGCAAGTCTTCGTGGTGGTATAGTGCACGCCGTCCAGTTATCACCAATGGCATGCGTGCACATCCTGTTCGGCAGCTCTGCGCATACATGCATGCTTGTCCATGCTGATAAGTTGCCCCGCCGCGGTGGTCTAGTGGCTAAGGTACTCGGCTGCTGACCCGCAGGGCGCGGGTTCAAATCCCGACTGCGGCAGCTGCATTTCCGATGGAGGCGGAAATGTTGTAGGCCCGTGTGCTCGGATTTGGGTGCACGTTAAAGAACCCCAGGTGGTCTAAATTTCCGGAGCCCTCCACTACGGCGTCTCTCATAATCATATAGTGGTTTTGGGACGTTAAACCCTACATATCAATCAATCATGCTGATAAGTGGACGGCGCGCACTATACAGTCGCGAAGGCTTGCCGCTGGTCGGGTTTCATTTGACACCCATTGTACATCGACGCTGTACATTCCACCGAAAACCCTTCAATATGCAGAAAACAGCGCATTGCTTTAAAAGCTCTGTGCACTTTGCAGTCCACTCGAACACTGTACAAAGCACGAAGCAGAAGGGGCGTAGCCAGAGGGTGGCACACCGGGCACCTGCCTCCCCCCCCCCCCCCAACCCTTGCGATATTATTTTCAGATAAATGACATTTTCAAGGGGGTGGCCCTCCCGAAATCAATAAGATGCCCCCCCCCCCCCTTAAAAAGAATCTCTGGCTACGCATCTATAGCGCTGCAGTGATTCGCCCTGCTCTTCGGCAACACTGGCTTTCAGGGGAATGGAAGCGCTGTCGTTGCAAGCATGCAGCCGCCTCGGCGGGAAAGAAACCTTCTGCAATCAAGATGCAGTGGCTGACCTCATTACTATCTACTCGCAACCCTTCTATTACCCTAACTTCCCTTTCCCACCAGATTGCTATGCCACGAACAGCTACGCTGTGTGTTGTCCTGCTCACGATCCCTTACCTTTCCCAATCCTTGTTATACTATACTACGCATTGCTATGCTGCACTTTACACATTTATTTATTTATTTCAACATACTGCAGCCCCGCAGGGCTATCGCAGGAGTAGGCAAATACATACATAGAATAGCATAACAAGTGCGCTGTACATCAATGGTTAGTAATATACAACAAATATTCATCCAGTGATAAAGATCGAACGTAACCAGGCAAAGAATTCCACAATTCAATAGAATGAACAAAAAAACTATATTTAAACGCCATCGTATGATGAGCAAAGGTAGACATGTTTAACTCATGGTAATTTCGGGTGGTCGTTGGTCTAGCGTGTGCTATATATTTGCTGAGTAAATGAAACCGTGGGGAATTAATTAAGGTATAAAGAAACTTCAAACATTCAACGTGTCGACGGGAAGATAGACTGCTATCCTTTACCCTCTCCCCTCTTCACATCGCTCCTCGTCACGCTTAGTGTCCTTTCCCACCCCATTGTTACACGTGGTTCTGCCTGCATGGCCATTCAGTGCTTATCCTCCCCCACCTCTGTACCCTTTCCCGTTCACTTTCTATGCAGGGTTTCGCCTGCGTGACGCCTGGCAACATGACAGCAGATGGCATGATGCAACAGCCCGGGCCCCTGAAGTCGTGATCAGCCCGACTACGCCCACTGCAGGGCAAAGGCCTCTCCAGTGATCTACCAATCAACCCAGTACTGTTCTTTTTGCTGCCACGTTATACCTGCGAACTTTTTATTCTTATAAGCCCACCTATCTTTCTGTCCCCCCTTCATGCGTTTGCGTTCCGTGGGAATCCAGTTAGTTACCCTTAATGACCAGCGGTTGTCCTACCTACGCGCTTCGTTCCCAGCCGATGTCCATTTCCTCTTGATTTCAACTATCATATCCTTAACCCCAATTTGTTCCCTGACCCACTCTGCTCTCTTCTTCTCTTAAGCTTACACCTACTATTAACCATTCCATCGCTCACTGCGTCATGTTCCCTACTTTATTAGTTCGTTCCAAGGTACGGCGTCAACATATATTGTTTTGCTAGAAATGTGACGAGAAACAACTGCTCTGGGGTGGATAAACAGTTAAAGGAGGATGCGCTGTGAATCATGCAAACAAATATATAACAAGTGCAAAGGGGATCGTAAACGTCATTCTACAAACATAAGGTACATGTGGTAGAGAATATGTGAGACACGACGCAGCGCTACGTTAATGTTCGCCGTAGAGAACACAAGTAGCCGCTACAATACACTGCGTCCCTGCACCATCCAGTGCATTGCGGATCACAAGGCTGTGTGTCGTTTTTTTTTTTTTTTACTAATACTGCCATTCATGGACACACTAGCCAGACGGATAGAGGAGTTGCAGAATCATACAATATCAAGATTGGGGGAGAGGACACGAGCGTAAGTGAACCATCGCTCATTCTCGACTAGGGATTCCACTTTTTAAATCAGTCACGCCAAGCTCCCGAACATAGTGCACAATTGCACGACACTGGGTGCACACCCCTGGCAAGGCCACCGCTGGCGTGCGCATGCGTCGAGCGAGCGAACTTACCGCTTGGAAGCTAGACTGGGAGTGCACGGTACGAACGCTTCCACAACGGCGCAGCGCTGAGAGCGAATCTGCAGATAGTCCTGTCCGATCCACCACAGGTACAGCGAGGAGTCACGTGATGAGTTACGTCACGAGCGCGGCGCAATTTGAGACTCGGCAGGAACGGCCCGCGTTCACACGGCCCCGGGGCCGCCGTTGAATTGCGCCCATCGACGGCGAACCCGCCTTCGCCGCAACGCGAGCCCTATCAACTTGCGTCTTTACGAAGCCGCGGCTGCTCGAAAGACGAGACTAACTCGCTCCTTCGCCCTACCATGTCAACTGATAATGATTGATTTGTGGGGTTTAACGTCCCAAAACCACCATTTGATTATGAGAGACGCCGTAGTGGAGGACTCCGGAAATTTTGACCACCTGGGGTTCTTGCACCCAAATCTGAGTACACGGGCCTACAACATTTCCGCCTCCATCGGAAATGCAGCCGCCGCAGCCGGGAATCGAACCCGCGACCTGCGGGTCAGCAGCCGAGTACCTTAGCTACTAGACCACCGCGGCGGGGCTGTCAACTGATAATGAACACTCCTGTCAACTTGCACCAATCATCGCGCAGCAGCGGAGCGCTTTGTTGGCAAAGTAGGATTTGCGGTGTTCCCCAAACCACCATATGATTACGAGAGACGATAGTTCCGGATATTTCGACCAGCTGGGGTTCTTTAAGGTGCACCCAAATCTGAGCACACGGGCCTACAGGATTTCCGCCTCCATCGAGTTGCCGCCGCCGCAGTCGGGATTCGGTCCCGCGACCTGCGCATCAGCCGCCGAGTACCTTGGCCACTAGACCACCACGGCGGGGCTTTGTTTGCAAAGCACAAAATTAGTTCACGTTTTTCGTGCGCGCGTAGTCAACGTCAGAAGCTTATATACCGTGAGACATAGCATTTCTTAATAACTAGAGAGCACGCATATGCGCGCAGAGCTGCCGAAAAGGATGCAAGCGCCTGTCCACGGTGATCAGTGGACGGGGCGCACTGTGTACCATCGCGAAGCCTAGCCGCCGTTCGGGTTTCATTTGACCCCGACTGTACAGCACTTGCGGAATCACACATGATGTGGCATTCTTCAGTATACGGCTGGTATACGGAATTGCTCGAGATTATACCGCGTCACGTCGCTACGAATGTCGTGTCTGAATCTGTTAGCTCTGATGTACGCATTAGGAGTCGAAATCACGCGAAAACCCGAATTGAAGGCGGTACAAATAAAAGTTGGTACGTTACGTAGTCGTACAGTGTTCCTTTTCAATTCGCGAGTTATGCACTGCGGAGACCGACCAAATACAGCAACAATATTGCTGGAAAACTCAGTTTTCTGAAGCTTAGTGGTCTCACACTTTTTGAAGCCGACTGTAAACAACCTACAAACTGCAAAAAAAAAGTGGGGGGGGGGGGGGAGGGTATTTGACACCAGTCTACGTCTATGGCCGCTGCAGTTCATGTTTGTTGTCTGAGATGGCCAATTCTTTGGCAACCTGTTTTCTGCTTTCCTTGTTCATCATAACACGATGGTAAAAACTTATGATCATGACTTATTTAGTCACATCGAACAAATTCTGAATTGTTTAATAAATGGAAGAAGCCACTTAAAACAGTATTTTATTTCAAAAAGATTGCAATGGGTATGAAATATTTTTGAATTGCATTATTGCTCCACTGAAAGGGCACTTGGAGAATGACACCACCACCAAACACACACAAAAGATGAAAAGTAAGAACCCAAAAACTACGTGTAAAAGGCTATTGGATAAAATATCCTTAGATGTCAACATATTCTGGCACGTACTTTGGCTTGTAGCGAAGTGCCGAAACACAGCTGAGAACTTTCAGCGCGATTCTCAACCAGTGTTCTGACCGTAAACTTTACAGTAGGATAGGAAAGCAATACAAATTACACATACGTTACATGGGAGGTATACAGCACAAAGCAATGCATTTCAATGCGAAAATATCTTGATGCTTGGCTTGGATCGCTGTATTAAGGGCTGAGTTAGATGAGACAAACGTGAAAATGTTTCAGCATACTCTCGATGCTTAGTTTGGAAGTGAAATGATGTGGGCGACCCAGCTGGATTATTGAACATTTCCAGCTGGAAAGTCTTTCGCTGATAATTCGGCTATTATTCGCTATTCTATAGCTCAGAATCGATTAATATTAAGCTAGAATATGGCCGCATTTCAGCCGAGAAGTGACTAAGTTCATTCCCTTTGAGCAGTCACCCAACTTTACAGCTGGAAAGACCTGTTCAATAATCCAACTGCAAATGGAACTTCGTCGTCGGGAAACACAACCTACTTTGACGACGCATTAAAAAAAAAAAGACGCGTGCCAGTGGTTACAACTGGTCAAGCTTAACAGCGGGGCCGTACTTTCCTTTGCGCAAGTTCCGTTTGAAGTTGCGTGCCCATATACGAGCGTCCTTCAAACGCGATGCCGGCACATTGGCAAACTCCGGACAGTGCCACAAGAGGTCATTGGGGTCAGGAGCCAGAAACGCCGCCAGCCTCATGACGTAGTCTAGGTGGTAGATCACGTCCAGGTGAATAAGGAAACAGACATTTGTCGTACGGCACCACGGCCTCATCTTCTGCATCATGTCCTTGGCGCCTTCCAGGAACTCACGCACGCGTTCGCTGGACCGGGCCACTTCCTGCGAGCCGCTGTCCCGCAGGATGCCGTTGAGCACCTCGGCGCTAAGAGCAGTCTTCTCTTGAACGTCGTACAGTAGTCGCATCATCTTCAACCCGCTGAACTTAGCTGCCGTCAGAAAACCTTCCTCCAGGAAGCTCATGTCACCGCTGAAAAAAGAAAAATCCGCAATCATGCCTTTTCCTCTACCGCATGCCTTGAAATGTCGAAAAAAAAAAAAAGCACCTGCCCCATAAGCGCCTTGTATGATTACGGTCATGGAGGAGTGCAATCAGCGGTTAAATGAGTTTTACAATGAGTTTACACGAAAGTCGCGCAAGTTATCCTAGTGTTTTAGGAGAACTGATTGTCCTTCTACATCTTGAGCTCTTAGCTGCTTGGCTTCAGGCTGGCCCTACAAAGTTTTGTTAACATGGCCAGAAAACACTGACTCACTATAGTCGAGGCTCTTGTAAATAGGTGAGCCAAATATTAAAGCACTGCACCCGGCGGGAAATTCACAGGTACACTTCCGAAATAACTAGAAATAGTTTGTTGTTCTATCGCAAAGGTACGTCTTTGACGAGCGTGACTAAGTTGACCGAGATTAAGACACGGACATTGGCTGAATCGATGACTGCAGAAACCTGATTAAGATCGTGGAGCGCGCTAGCGTAGGTTCTCACTCGCTTGTCATACCACCCGTCATGATCATCATCATCATCAGCCTGGCTACGTCCACTGCAGGACAAAGGCCTCTCCCATGTTTCGCCAGTCAACTCAGCCATGTGCTTGCTGCTGCCAATTTATATCCGTAAACTTCTTAATCTCATCAGCCCACCTAACGTTTTGTTTCCCTCTAACCTGCTTGCCTGAGAATCCAGTTAGTTACCCTTAACGACCAGCGGTTATCCTGTCTACGCGCTACATGCCCGGCCCATGTCCATTTCATCTTGATTTCATCTTTGATATCCTTAACCCCCGTTTGTTCCCTAATCCACTCTGCTCTCTTCTTGTCTCTTAAGGTTACACCTACCATTTTTCTTTCCATTGCTCGCTGCGTCGTCCTCAATTTAAGCTGAACCCTCTTTGTAAGTCTCCAGGTTTCTGCTCGATAGCTAAGTACCGGCAAGATACAGCTGTTATATACCTTCCTCTTCAGGGATAGTGGCAATCTACCTGTCATAATTTGAAAGTGCTTGCCAAATGTGCTCCACCCCATTCTTATTTTTCTAGTTACTTCAATCTCGTGGTTCGGCTCCGCGGTTATTACCAGTCCTAAGTAGACAGTCTTTTACAACTTCAAATGCACTATTACCTATCTCGCAGCGCTGCTCTCTTCCGAGGTTGTTGTACATTACTTTCGTTTTCTGCAGATGAATTTTAACACCTACCTTTCTTCTCTCCTTGTCTAACATCGTAATCATGAGATGCAATTCGTCCCCTGAGCTACTCAGCAACGCAATGTCTTCGGCGAAGCGCAGGTTACTAAGGTACTCTCCATTAACTCTTATACTACCCGTGTCTCTGTATATATATCATGTAATGTAACTGCGCATTTGTAGTTTCCAGCACACACGTCTTAAGAGAAGCAGCGTCTAAATGCGCGATGAATTCCCGGAACTTTGCTCGTACTAAAGAGACTAATATTTATTTCTTTCCCGCAATCGACTCGTGAGGCCGAAGGCACCGATCATGAGGTCATTTTACATTATTTGTAAACATGTCGCAGGGCTCTTTCAAAGGCTGGCTGAGACCGCGAAAAATCGGCGCAAGAGCGCCAAATATCATTACCTGGGTGGCGCCTCACAAACGTGGCAGTGGTAGGCGTACTGACCAATAACCAGAAGCACGATATAAGGCTTTACTTCTCCTTCGGTAGAGCACGCCTTGCGGGCCAGTTCAGTCAGAAACCTGCCGTTGGGGCAAAACGCGTCTCCGTCGAAAGACGTGGGCACGGCCGCGGCCAAAGCACTCTTCATCCGGGTCCGAAGGAAGTCCTGCACTTCCCTCACGGGCAGGACCACGACCAACGACAGCGCCAGGCTGTAGAAGCTGATGATGAGGCCCGCCTCGTTTAGGGCATCCCGGGAGCCCTTCTTGATCAGATCGGCAAGGAAGTCCACCAATCCAGGAGACGAAGGGAGCGGCTCCACACTCACGGGCCCGGGCGCAAACAGCCTAGGAATCTCTGCCAAGTTCAGCACGGGCGTCAGCACGTCCTGTGATATCAAGTCCAGTGCGTCCCGCTCACTGTAGAAGTCGGCGAAAAGCGGCTTCTCCGGGGACGTCGGCGAAGGCGTGGCGGCCACGCACTCGAGCATGACGTGGTCGAACGCCTGCTGCCACCTGTTGGAGGCCACCACCCGGAGCCACGACGTGTACAGCGACCGCCTGGTGGCGTCGTCAGGGTACTGGACTTTCCTCAGGACTTCCCGCCCGCCCTTCATGGCCATCATGTCGTTCCAGTCGTTCCAGTTCAGCAGTTCGCATTTGATGGCGTGATATAATCGCTCTGTATTGCTCAGGAAGTCTGAGTCTGAAAAAAAAGAAAACAAAGACGGCTTTGCACTACCTTAAGGAAGTGCAGGGATAGGGCGGCTTTTTTCGTTTCTTTGCTTTTTCATGTTTCCAGTGATGGTACTAATATTTTTATACGATTCCAAGCAGCTTTGTGACTAGACTGTAACGCTGTCCATCCATGTCTCTGTGCCAACGCGCTGCACTACGTTTCCCTCGCCACAGGTGTTGGGGCGGTGCCAAGTAGGTCACGCCTCCCCTCGCAGTAGGCGGTGACGTCACTCTCTCCCTCACCTGCCACACGCGCGCCGCGTGTCACTTCTTTCTCCTTTTATCCTCTCCACTGCTCGAATCGTTCGAGCGCACATCGAGTGAACACACGACTCGTTTATCTGCGATGGAGAGGACGCCGGAAAACGAAGCTCCTTCACACGCCAAAACACGCGCCGAAGCGATTTGGCCTAACCCGCCCATCGCCTGCGTTCCGAAGGTTAGCAGAGCCGATCGCGAATGGCGACGTCGCGCCTACAACACCGACGGCGAGCCAGGAAGCCGAACGCAAGCGTCGGCAGCGGAAGACCGACGAGGCGCGAGTCGAAAACGCCGATCACATCTGTGCGCAACGCTGCTGCTTCGCATCCCCATCAGGATTCCCTTTGGGAAGACGTTAATTATTTAGCACACTTTCTGGAGCAGCTAAATTCTATAACTGAATTCCAAGTTCTGTAAGACACGTAACGCGGACGAATAAGGCGCATTGCCAGGAATTAGGGACATCTGGACGTGGCGCCATTTCTCGGCGGCAGCCTCCCATAAATGAATGCGAAATAGATGAGAAAAATCATCTCTTGAAAAGTTCTAGTTATCAAAAACGACTCCTTGTTATATGAAGCAGACACCCACTGGTACATTTTAGTATAATTGCGGTATCGCACTACAAAGCGTGTCCCTATCGGAAAAAAACGAATGGTGGGCATGGTGGAAACCACCACCCACCATTATAATGGATTAATGTAGTGGGTGAACGGTGGGAAACGCCCACCATGGCGCATGGTGGGTATGGTGGGTGCTGCAGTGCCGGCAACACTTGAGCGCGAAATGACGTCAGAATCACGGTGACGAGCAGCCACAAAAATAAAAAAGAATTCTATAAAAACGGTATAAAAAACACCCGTCCCGTAAAAAAAAAAACAAGGCGCCACGGAGAATTGAACGTGCAACCTGCGGATTCCCATTCGAAGACGCTAACCACTGCGCCACACCAACATGGCGTTGTTTGCGTGTTAAATACTTAGTTGCTATACAAACTTAAGGTTCAACTTGGTTATGTCTGTCGTGTACACAACATAGACAAGATCTACACCTGCTACTAAATATTGCACATTTATTAAACACAAGCAACTGCGGCCTGTAACGATTGCCACTATGTTAATGACACTAGTGCTATTTTTTGCAATTCACAACTTCAAGAAAAAAAAAACCAAGTGGACTGGGGAGCAGCGACAGTTTACCGGCGGGGTCTGCCAAGTTTAATATCCGTTTCGCGCTCGTTCTAAAGGGCGACATCTTTTCACGCTTTATGACGCTTCTAGGCTCATTCCATAGATACGCCCGCCTAATTTATTTGAGTATTGGGATGCTTTTCGCGCAATGTAGAGGGCGGTCGCGCCAGCGCAATGCTGTAGCTCTTTCGCTAAAGGAACAACTACATAACGGCTTGGCCAAAACGAATGCAGTGTGCCGGAAACATTACGCTATCATATTGGTTCACCAAGCACACGAATTGCCACGTCTGAGTTCTCGTACAAAAGCTAGAGAAGTGCCGGCGAGTGTGACCGGCGGCTGTCGGTGAGAAGACACTTAATTACGTTCTCTGGGAGTGCTTTAATCGCGTCGCATCGATGTTTGTTGCTTCTTGAGCGGACACCATACACAATGAAAAATGCTTCATTTAGGTTAATTGATGCCATATGGCTGCGCTGTACTGTCATACTTAATCGTCGTAATCATGTATACTGAAACCCGGAAACACGGATAACACAATTGTACGGGCTCGGTCAGTAGGCCTAACCTTTGGTGGAAATCATGGTGGTAGAACATGTAGTGTACAGATCCCAGCTTTGTACACTATATAAATTGCACGCCATTATAAGCCCACCCATCATCTGCTTACTGCTTCCCAGCATTATCACTATGGTGGGCAGAGCTTCTCAGCTTGGTACACCATGTGGCCCACCATAACAAGCAGCACCCATCATCTGCTTAGTGCTTCCCAGCATTATCGCAATGGTGGGAAGAGTTTCTCAACTTGGTACACCATGTAGCCCACCATAATAAGCACCACCCACCATATGCTTAGGGCTTCCCAGCATTATCGCAATGGTGGGCAGAGTGTCCCATTATTGCCCACTATCTAGCCTCTGCTTTCCACCATCATTTCCACTTTACCCATCATCTGTACACCATACCACCCAGTATGTCCCAGCATAACCACCATATTTTCCACTACGTCCCACCATAGCCATCATAATTTCCACCATGCCCACTATTATTTCCACTACTCCCACCATGTTTTCCAGTATCCACCATGGCAATTTTTCCGATAGGGGTGGCTTCCCGGAAAATCAGCGGCAGGCTCCACCCCTATGCCTTATTCTCGTAGTGAAGCTCAAGACAAACAACAATGCGCAGCCACGCATCGTTCCGTAAAAAAATAATGAATAAAACGCCTCCGTAAACGACAAGCCCGTCGAAACAGCGGCAACAGCTCATTATTCACGACTCCGACAGGTAGGCCTAGCATGGCGGGCGCCGGCCATCGCCCCCGCCGTTCACACGCGAGCTCGCCATCGAGCACTTTTTTTAACACTATTAAGCTTTGCATTCGTATGTAATGCATTGGCATGCGCTATTACTTTCGAGATGTCATCGAAAGTAATATTGCGTTGCCGGCTCGCAGAGATGCCGGTGTTGCTGCCTTTACCTGCGAAATGACCTTGCACCGCTGCTCACGAAATCCGATCTCACTAATGGTTTCAAAACGGGCGTCGGCTTGCAGACATTTCAAACATCCCATTATTCCATCCGCAATAACTTTCACGTCACAAGGAAAACGCATTCAACGATGTCGGCAAGACCAGGCTCGCTCCCCTCCTTGACTCGCCTGCCCTGAACTGGCCTCGACCACGGGTGATGGGAGCGGCGACAGGGAGATAGCGCTACCAGCGGCGTGACGCCGCTCATCTGTTCGCGCTGTGATTGGCTGCGGCTCTGCGGTCGTCCGGTGCGGCGACGAAAGTATCTGGCCGGTTTGATGCACGCCGGACCGGCGACGCGGTAGTACACGTCCCGAACGTCACCACTCCGGCTGCCGCATCGCAATGAAAATCGCGCTATCTGTCTCGTAAGGTAACGTGCACACTTGCGGTAAGCATGCCGCGGCGGCACCTCCGCTCAGCAGCCAGTGGCACGCTGTCCACATTGGCGGCACCGCGAGAGAAGCGAGACAAAAGTGGGCATGACGAGGCACGCGCGGCCACCTGCTAGCTGCGGGCTCACTGCTTGTCCGTGGTGGTGGTTATAAGAGGAAGAAGGCGCCTAATTTCTGCAGCCCGGTAGGGAGCACGGCGCAGTGCCTCCCGGGAGGAAAAGCAGGCATGATTGCCTTGCGCGGGAGCCGGCGGCAGCGACAAAAACAGCCCAGCGAGCAGTCCGACTCAACGACAAATCGAAAAGCATAACAGCTCCACTGTAGCACAGTAAAAGAAACAGGGGCCGTTTGGACACAATACCAGCCATCGTTGTGAATTGAAAGAAAGCTTTTGGCATGATATGTACACGGATCATTTCTGAGGGGGATTTGCTGATGCATTGCACTGCACAAAGTGTCATCCTGACCCGTCATGTTCTTTTCTCGTGCGGACAACTGTCCATTGCGGGATGAAGGCTCATAACAGCACTTAAGGGGGGAAAAAAGACAAAGTTTAAGATACGAAGACTTAGTAATGCAGGCCGGGCTGCGTCATTTGTACGGCTCAATCTGTACGGGGAACGGCTTCAGCGCGGCAGCTCAAAACGAACTGAACATGGACGCCGCTATATTGGCCGAACACAGACAAGATATAGTGAAAGCGAAGAACGCAAACGCAAGAAAAGAACACAAAATAGCACATAAACACAAGAACACGTAGACGTTAGAAAAAGAACAACAGAACAGCAAAGAACCTATGCGGACAAATACACAGAACCGAAAATAACAAATACAGAGCAGGAAAGTACACTAAACACAAGAAAAGAACACAAAAGGCGCATAAACACAGGAACACGTAGATACACGAAAATAACACGAAAGAACAAATACAGAGAAGGAGACAGAACATAACATAGCCCATAGGCACGAAAGAACAGAAAAAAAAACAAAAATACAAAGAGCAGAAAATGACACGTGCAGACAAAGAAAGAAGACACAGCAACAAGAAAAGAACACAGAAGAGCGCATAAACACAAGAACACGTAGACAAGAAAAGCACACAAAAGAAACATATAAGAGCGTATGAACCCAAGGAGAACACAGGCGAATCACTGCTCCGTAGTTCGTACAGCTTTCACTAGATGTAGAACTGACGTTCTTTTTATTTTATTTTGTTTTTAAAGACGATAGTCTTTCTAGGGGACCTTCGACGCAAAAACTTTGGTTTGCACTGTCTGTACATTTGTCTGTTTGTCCACTCTTAACGGCATCGGGTGCATGAAACGGCCGACCCCATCCACAGCGACCACCATTGTTGCTCAAGATTGAGCGTTCATGCTTGTGCAATTGTCAATTAAAAAAAATAATTATTGCGCACGTCTGGGGCACTATAACAACACGTATATAATCTACGTGTGCGTCTTTTACTAGAAGAGGCATACATAAATAATTTTAAGGACCGCAGCGCTCATCACGCTGCGCTGACCATGCAACGCTTGCACGAAAGGGGGAGTGTTTCCGAGGCTTTGCTAAGACGAGACGGTGGTG